GAACTGTGACGTAGTGGGGGTACTTGCTGGGCTGTGGTGACCCCTGCTGTCTGGAGCAAGACCCAGCAAGGAAAGCCTCACTATGGAAAGGTAATGCCAAACTTGTTGAACCAGTGGCCAGACACCCCCCATGGAGAGGAACAAAGGAAGGTGGAGGCTGCCCTGGCTGGGGGGCAGGGCTGGAAGAGGGTTAGTTAGTTCCTGGCTGGAAGGCAGGGAATAAGGCGCTGGGGAGGGGGCTGGGACTCCCCTATCTCAAGGGGGGGGCACTGAGGCCTCCTAGCCCCAGTTCCTGTAACCAGATTATATCTGTGCTGCGCTGTGCTGGAGGAGCAATAAACCACCCTCAATTCCACTGGCTGGTGCAGTCTGTTTGTGCCATTTTGGGGTGCAGGAGACGGGGAACCCCCAACGCGCCGTCACTCCCTCACTTTATGGTTGAAGCTTGCTGCTGGTTGATACTCTCTATGTAAGGGTAATGTAACCTCTGTCTTCTTGAGACACTTTCCTGAACTATTTTTAGCAACACTTTTTCTTTTACATTCTCTTGAAAGTAGATCAGATATCTGGCTCATTTTTAAAAAGGAGGTGGATGATTTTTTTAAAAAGACTCTGGGAATTCCTTTTGGATTTAAAATGTTCTATGGTTTTGGTTTAAAGATCAAGTTTTGGGAGGGGAGAAGGTGTTAAGCTCTGAGTAAAACATGTTCTGGGAGGTGTTCAGCGGTTTACTGTGCTGCTATCACAGATCCCTGTATGTGCATGGTGAGTGACGGATAACAGGATGGCCTCTGCATTTCCTAGCCATGTGTCTACACAGCCCCTAGGGAAATTTGGGTCCTCTCCTACAATGGTCCTGAGCATCTACCTCTGCCATTGACAAACGTTCTTGGCTCTGTTCAAAGATACCATAATAGAGCCCCAACTTAAATGTATAGCCCAAATTTAAAAAACAGTAAGAGAACCAAAAAAGTTCCATCTGGCTTAACAACCAGGTAAAAGAAGCACTGAAGAATAAAAAGATATGGGAAATTTGGGTCCTCTCCTACAATGGTCCTGAGCATCTACCTCTGCCATTGACAAACGTTCTTGGCTCTGTTCAAAGATACCATAATAGAGCCCCAACTTAAATGTATAGCCCAAATTTAAAAAACAGTAAGAGAACCAAAAAAGTTCCATCTGGCTTAACAACCAGGTAAAAGAAGCACTGAAGAATAAAAAGATATCTTTTAAAAAATGGAAGTCAGATCCTAGTGAGGAAAACAGAAAGGGGCATAAACTTTGCCAAATTAAGTAAAAAATATAATAAGAAAAGCCCAAAAGGAGTTTGAAGAGCAGCTAGCCAAAAACTCAAAAAGCAATAGTAAAATGTTTTTTAAGTACATCAGAAGCAGGAAGCCTGCTAAACAACCAGTGGGGTCCTTGGACATTCGAGATAACGGAGCACTCCAAGATGATAAAGTCATAGGGAGAAGCTAAATGAATTTTTTGCTTCAGTCTTCACGGCTGAGGATATTGGGGAGATTCCCAAACCTGAGCCATTCTTTTTAGGTGACAAATCTGAGGAATTGTCCCAGATTGAGGAGTCACTAGATGAGGTTTTGGAACAAATTGATGAATTTAACATTAATAAGTCACTGGGACTGGATGGCATTCACCCAGGAGTTCTGAAAGAACTCAAATGGGAAATTGCAGAACTGTGGTTTGAAACCTATAGTTTAAATCAGCTTCTGTACCTAATGATTGAAAGATAGCTAATGTGATGCCAACATTTAAAAAGGACTCTAGAGGTGATCCTGGCAATTACAGACTGGTAAGTCTAACATCAGTATTGGGCAAATTAGTTGAAACTATAGTGAAGAATAAAATTGTCAGACACATGGACAAATATAATTTGCTGGGGGAAAGTCAACATGGTTTCTGTAAAGGGAAATCATGCCTTACTAATCTGCAATAGTTTTTTTAGTGTGCACAAGGAGGATCCATTGGATATAGTATCCAGAAAGCATTTGACAAGGTCCTTTACCAAAGGCTCTTAAGTAAAGTAAGTTGTCTTGGGAGAAGAGGGAAGGTCCTTTCATGGATTGATAACTGATTAAAAGACAGGAAACAAAGGATAGAAAAAAATGGTAAGTTTTCCAAGTGGAGAGAGGTAACTAGTGGGTGTGTCCTGGGACCGTAAGGGTCCGTCCTGGGACCCATTCTATTCAACTTATTTATAAATGGTCTAGAAAAAGGGCTAAATAGTGAGGTGTCAAAATCTGCAGATAATATCAAACTGCTTAAGATAGATAAGACCAAAGCAGACTGTGAAGAGCTTGAAAAAGATCTCACCAAACTAAGCGATTGGGCAACAAAATGGCAAATTTAATTTTGATAAATGTAAAGTAATGCACATTGGAAAACATAATACCAACTATATATACAATATGATGGGGACTAATTTGGCTACAACTACTCAAGAGAGAGATCTTGGAGTCATTGTGGATAGTTATCTGAAAACGTCCACTCAGTGTGCGGCAGCAATGAAAAAAGCAAATAGAATGTTAGGAGTCATTAAAAAAGGGATAGAGAATAAGACAGAAAATATCTTACTGTCTCTATATAAAACCATGATATGCCCACATCTTGAATACTGCATACAGATGTGGTCACCTAAACTCAAAAAAGATATATTGGCATTGAAAAAGGTTTAGAAAAAGGCAACAAAAATGATTAGGGATTTGAAACGGGTCCCATATGAAGAGAGATTAAAAAGACTTGGATTTTTCAGTTTAGAAAAGAGGAGACTAAGGAGAGATATGATAGAGGTCTATAAAATCATGATTGGTATGGAAAAAGTGAATAAGGAAATGTTATTTTCTTATTCCCACAACATAAGAACTAGGGGGTCACCAAATGAAAGTGAAGCAGCAGGTTTAAAACAAAGAAAAGGAAATTTTTCTTCACTCAGCACACAGTGAACCTGTGGAACTCCTTGCCAGAGGATGTGGTGAATGCTACAACTTGAACAGGGTTCAAAAAAGAGTAGATAGATTCATGGAGGTTAGGTCCATCAAGGACTATTAGCCAGGAATGGGTAGCACTGGTATCCCTTGCCTCTGTTTCTCTGAAAGTGGGTGACAGGGGAGGGATCACGTGAGGATTGTCTGTTGTGAACCCTCCCTCTGGGGCACCTGGTATTGGCCACTGTCAGCAGACAGGATACTGGGCTAAATGGACCTTTCATCTTACCCAGTATGGCCATTTTTATGTTTGGTGTTGACGCAGGCATAACCGGCACTGATGACTTTCTAGCTGTGCGTTGTTCACAGTAGGGACATAACCAAATAACCAGTCGTCCAGACAGGTTAGAACTGTGTTTCTCAACCTCTTTTTATAAAGTACCACTTAAAAAAAATTATAAGTATCCCCAGTAACTACAGTTTTCAGACACACACAATTTTTTTCTCCCATTGCAACACATTTGTTTAAACAACTTAAGTGTAGCCAAATGGGCGATGACATTTTTGGATGTTAAAAGTATAAAAATAATAAAGTGCTTAAAACAAAAATTCAGTTTTCTCCAAATTTCAGTTGTGTTGACGTACCTTCCAGACTTCTCTCGAGTACCCCTAAGTATACTCGGACCAGTTTAGAATAACCCTGGGTTAAAGGAACTCCATGCCCATGGTGGGGTGGGCCCAGTGCTCTGCGGCATGGGGTGGCAGACCCAGCCCAGCTCTAGCAATCCCTGCCCGTGACACAGTGGATCCAGCCAGGCTAGAGCAGCCCGTGAAACTCCAGTTAAGCAATTAAATGGTTGCAACATAATATTTAACTAGTTAAATGGGATTTTATATCCCTAATTCATAGTGAGGGTTTGGTTTTGTCTGATCTCCTCCCAGTGCCACCCTAAATCCAAATGGAAAAAAACCTTTTTTTGGCCTTTGCTGGCAGAAGAGCTAGAAAACTGATCCCCTTCCAGTCCTTTCTCCTGTGAGTTTTAGAGGAAGTCTCTTTGAGAAATACAGGTTTTAAGCTTGCCTTCTCCCACCTTCACCTCCGCATGGATCTAGAGGCACATTGAATTCTGAGCTATTGATCACTCTCAATCAGGGGTGACCCGTGCGTATAGGCCAACTTGGCCGTCGCCTAGAGCGCTGCGTTAAACGGGGTGCCCAATGATGACGTCACGCCATTGAGGGCTGTGGAGGCAGGGGTGCCAATTGCGCATACCATCTGGGGCGCCAGCTGCCGGCAGCCCACTTCAGGCCGCCCCTGCTCTCAATCCATGCTAACTTCAGCTTCTGGAGCAAATCTGCAATGAGTGTGAATTTGTAGACAGTTACAGACCACAGGAATTGTGGAAAGCAAGGTGAGTGGGTGACCTATTTTGGATAAACACATTGGACTACTTTTGAATTCAAGTCCTATCCACTAGTATGACAGCATCATACTATCCATGTGTCAAGTCATATCCACCAGCATGACTGATGCCTGCATGGGTCAGCTTCTTTAGAAATCCCATGGAGTGGAAATGCTCTAAGACAGAAGGGCTGAACTACCTGTACTAACTTGATCCTTGGTTTGTCATGCCTGTAACTGATGAAGTTGTAATTTGAACTTTATTGTGTATGTGCATTTACTTTGTTTTAGAAGGGATACCTGTGCTATTCTAAAGGGACTTCTTTGTTCTCAAGTTGATTCAATAGAGATTATAATACTTGAGAAGGGGGTACACTGTTTTGCCAACAATGCGTCAGGCAAAAGGGTAGGGATCTTTTTTTGTATGCCTAAAGTCAAGCCATGCCTTAAATAACCAGGTTAGTATTATGAAACTGCCTCCTTGCTAATATTAATGTAGCATTTTAAGGCAAGCAAAAAAATGGTTAATACCTTTTCTTTTGTGGAATCTTGATTCAGTGCTTTTTTAAAATGAGGGGCCTTTGTTCTCTGGTAACAGCCAAGAAAAGAGCCAAGTTTTTAAAAACAAAACTCTGTGTTTTCACTCTACGCAGGCCCCAGAAGTCATTATGTCCCAACACTATGATGCCAAAGCTGACCTCTGGAGTATAGGAACTATCATTTACCAGTGTCTGACAGGAAAGGCTCCCTTCCAAGTGAGTACTCTATGGTTATTAATGCTTGATGAGTTTGTTGCTGTTTTTCACCCGTTTCACCAAGAGTTACATACAATATAGAACACACTCTCCTGGCAAGTCATCCTGTTTTGGTCCATCCCAATGAGCAGATAAGCATGTTAATTCTCAAGTCAGTGGGATGCTCCATATTTTTCAGTGCTGAAAATATCGTCAGAAGGCCATCTTTTCGGAAGATCTTGGGAACCTTAAAGCAATGATGTCCCCAGCAGCTTACTTTAAAATCAGTTTCCCTTTACGACCGTCACAGGGAATAATAATAATTTCTGTTGGGCCTAAGGGTGTAGGGACAATAAGAAAGATCAGCTAATGGTAAGGAAAATATTGCAGATTGGTATGACTCTAGTTTGAATTGGGACATTATAGTTGAAATAGCCTGACTTCTAGAGTAGATAAGGAAGATCTTACTGGAGAAGCCTTCTGTGTAATTTTGTTTGTTTGTTTTCAAGGCCTAAAAGGGATCATTTTGATATTCTCTTGCATTTAATCCTTTCATTAGAATTCCAACTATCGTGATCATAACTTTTGGTTAAGCTAAAGCATATCTTTAAGAAAGGCACCCTTCCTTGATTTAAAAATGTCAAACAATGAAGAATCTAACATCCCTAGGCAAATTGTTCTAGTAATTAATTACCCAGACTGTTCACCTTGTTTCCATTCTGAATGTATCTAGCTTGAGCTTCCAGTGCTCTCCTCCCAAACACCAGTTGTTCACATATGGTTATGCTCATTATTTTATTCCTCCTATGCCAAGCTGCAGGATCCAAGGTTCCATCCACATACCCGTAGAACTCCTCGAATTCTCCCATTCCAGACCCTTTGTCATGACATACATATATATTAACACCTTCCCTAGTATGACGGTTGCCTTTCTAGCTGGGATAACACAGTCAAGGGGACTACCTTTTGGAGCCTGTCCTTCTGAGTTGATGAGTCCATTGGCCGAGAGAGATGCAGTTTGCTTCCTACTCATCAAAGGGTATTTCTGCACTGCAGCCAGGAGGTGAGATTGCAGTATGTGCAAGCATAGCCTTGGAGTGCACAGGTATCTGGTATGTACTCAGGCCATACCTCTGTGAATAGACCTCTATTTTTAGCCAGGTCTGCCTACATGTGTGGAAATTGCACCTCCCAGCTGCCATGTAGACTTACCCACAGTCTCAGTGTGTAGACTCTGGCGAGCACCCATCCCTTCTTGTCCAGGTAGAAAAAGACCAAGAATCAAACGTTGCAGCATGATTTGGGGACACCTGACATGTCAGTTCTTCTCATCAGACATGAATTGATAGAAGGCCTTTTTTCAGAGACTAAATTTTGAAACTCTGATCACTGTTGCAACAGCCACTAAAACCGGATTTCTCCTCCTCACCCAATCTGTCCTAATGACTGACTCATTAGAAATGAGGATAACTAAAAGGAAACTCTGCAGCAGCATAAGCTCAGTTTTACAAGCTGCTGATTATCTTTAGATCAGAGCTTTCTCACTATAAAGTGAAATGAATATTTATGAAGTTGTGTAACCAAGAAGAATAAGATGATTTACAAGCCTGTTAGAAATCTTACAGGAGGGAGCAGATGAGTGTGGCAGTAAACTGGGGCTATGTCTAGACTGCAAGCCTCTTTCAAAAGAGGCTCTTTCGAAAGTATCGTCTAGACTGCACGTTGAACTTTCGAAAAAGTGGCTTGCTTTTTCGAAAGAAAGCATCCAGTGAGTCTGGATGCTCTCTTTCGAAGAAGCCCTATTTACATTGAAGAACGCCTTCTTTCGAAAGAGGAACTTTCGAAAGAAGGTGTTCTTCCTCGTGAAATGAGGTTTACCGCGAAAGAAAAGCCGCGTTCTTTCGAAATAATTTCGAAAGAAAGCGGCTTGAGTCTGGACGCAGGGGAAGTTTTTTCGGAAAAAGGCTACTTTTCCCGAAAAAACCCCTGAGTCTGGACACAGCCTGAGGCTTTTATTTTGGTTTGGTCTCCATGCTGAGGGCATGTTTTGGATTAGTTTTTTCATCTCTAAGGATCTTCTCTAACAATATTTCCCATTCTTCCCACTTTGCTCTGTAAGGAAAGCAAGCCTTCAGCTTCCATGGCTGTGTAATTTTTGGGTTTACAGTATCTCCAATTAATATTTTGAATGTTTCATAATTTCTGGCTACTTTTTCTTGTTCTCAGTCTGAACATCTTTTCTTAATGGGGAAGTAGGAAGTAATAATTGTTAGGAGAAAAAAATAAATTTTGTTTGTTTATTTAAAATAAATGTATTGGCGTGTGACCGTACACAAAGCTTTGCTGCTGTGTGTGTAAGAAGCTAACAGAGTTCCTAGCTCACTAGTAGATAGGGATGTAAAAGGTTATCTGGTTAACAAGTAAGCCTCACTCTTAACAAGGCTTACCGATTCTTACTCTTAACGAGTGAGGCTTTGCTGTTCTTGTTATCCGGCAGGGTCTGTAGCATGCAGGAGGTGTTCTAGCCATTCAGCTGGAGCACCCCCTGTCCATGGCGGGCCCAGCCCAACACTCCACCTAGCAGCTTACACAGCAGCGAAGCCTCATCCCCGGGAGTGGGGCCAGCAGGGGCTGGCAGTCCTGCTCTCAGGGAGGCTTTGCTGCAGGCTCTGCAGTACAAAGCTAAGTTTCATACTGCAAAACCTGCAGTATGTGTAATTGTGTAAGTGCTAAGATTTGTATTAGTTCAATGGTTACCTTTTTAAACAACTTTTTACATCCCTTCTATTAAAGTATCTCAAAGCTTCATACAAACTACAGGTAGACCCTCTCATAACATCTGTGATGCAGCATGATTTCAGTTAGTCAGATGTCCACTTATCATGGATCTGGCCAAGTTTTCCACAGTGCCAAAAAAGTTTGTTTACAGCTCTGGCTCTCAGTGTTCTATGCTGTTATTTAGCTCTAATTTACCGCTAAATGTCTGCTAAGAGCCCAGTAAGCAATGGAAGTGCTTGTAATGCTGCTAGATAATATTGACCTCCCGTGGTTTGATAAATTATCTGGTTTGGCATTGGTGAGATCCCTAGGGTGCCGGACTAAAGAGGTCCAGCCTGTAGCGATTTACATTTCCATGCAACCACAATGACTTTGTTGGACAGAGTAGGGCATTGTTGTCATTCTGCACTCAGCAATAGCTCATGTGCAACCATATGACAGCTGACTTACTTGAAAAACCTTTGCTATCATCATTATTATTCAGTGAAAAATGCCTTTTTTTAACTAAATGGAAAATTTCTCCTGACAATATTTGTTCTTTTTAGAGAATTGTCATGGAAAATATGTTTCCCAGGCTGCTGTACTAAACTCTACCAGCCAGTGCCTGGGGGAGAGAGGAGAAGAGCAGAGTCAAAACTCTGTTTATCTGCCCTCTTACTTATATGGAGATGAGGCCGCTCTGCTGTGCCTCCATTCCCTTCTGCTGTGTCGTCAGTGTCTGGGCTACTTGTACAGGGAGATAGTCACCGAAATCCTTGGTATGGGAAGAATGACTTCAGAAGGTCCTGCTAGGCAGAGAGGCAACTTCATTGATTGGAATGAGGGTTTTTCTTGAGTGGTGGTTACATTGCACATCTGTCTTGATTTCCTTGCTTATCTTTTGGGGGTTGTGCTTTGACAACAAAACACTGAGCCCTATTACTACAGTAACCGTTAGGAATCTGTTTGATCAGGGAGAAAGCAAATCCCAGTCCAGATGGTCCTCCGGATATGTGTATGTATTGCAATCAAGTGTGTTTACTCTTTAGACAGAGGTTACCAACCGCTTTTCCCAGACTATAAGATCTAGGCATATGAAGCCTGCCTGTGGCAAGTGTTGGATAGCTTATTAAACATTAAAGGACTTTATTCCCTTATTTGCATCACGAGAGACACTTTGCAAAAGCTGCTGCCTATATCTGAAAGTCTTGGAATTGGTAGTAATCAATTGCGCAAACAGTCTAAGAGAGTGGAAGGAGCATGGAGTGTAAATGTTGAGAGATGCTTACTGGAGAGCACACTTTCCCTCTGGTTAAGATCTTGTTAGATTCCCCAAGGTGAACCAGACAATGGAATACAGACTCCATCCCTTCCAACATCTGCCTGGATTTCACCTGTATGAGCATCCACTGCTTCCTCTGGAGAGGCTCACAGGTGTGCAGAAGTACCCGGGGTTGTTCTCAGCAAACAGATCAGGCTTTAAACCAACAATAGATTTCATAGGGTTTGGGTAGAAGCACATGTGGAAAGGCTGATTACAGGTGCCTTTCCTTTCCACAAGGGGAATGTAACTTGCACACTAGTTGTAAATCAAGGCAGAAGAGAGTTGGGTGGGCTTTCTTCTTTATAAAAGTCTGTAGGAATTAAAATGAACAGTCACCAAGTCACCAGAGCCAACCTTCCAAACTCCTCCTTTCCTCTCCCTACCCAATACACGTGACATGTCTGGTTGTCAGACATGGACAGTTGGTAGCATGACTGTCCAAGCTGTTCTAAGAAGCTTTTTATATTGAACATGTTCACAAACAAAACAAGGAGCTGGCAAAAGGGATATGATTAATGGGCTTCATAATCCCTATTCATAGATTTGCTGAGCATTGGGTAATGTTGAATTGTTAATTTTCATAGCCTAATGAATGAGGACATGGTCCAGGGTTGTGGCATTTCTGCCTTATATGACAAAGCTTGCACTCCTGCTGTTTTGTTCATATTACAGTAATATCTTGAAACTGAAACTAATAGAGATCAGAGAGTTTTTGTGTTGCACTTTGGATATATACATGAACACAGTCCCTCTCTAAACAACTTACAGACCAAGTAGGCAAAGCACACAGCAGGGGTGGGAATAGAAACAGAGAGGGGAAGAAATTTACCTAGGGACACAGCAGGTAACTGGCAGAGCTAGAAATAGGATTCCAAACTCCTGAGTCCAAATCCAGTGGTCTGGCTGTTAGACCTGGGATAGAATTTGAACTAGGCATAAAAGTTAAAAATTAACTTGAGTCCTTACGATCTTGTAAAACTTGTTCAGATCATACAGTCTTGATTTATTTATTTATTTTCAGAAGAACAAATACTGTGGACATTCCTGGACGTTCCCCAGTGCTTGTCATGTCTAAAAATCAGGGTGTGGTTTTGTAGGCGGTGGGGGAGAGGAGAGGTTAAGGCTTGTTTTGCAGCTTTTTTAAAGCTTTTAGTGATACCACCTGTATCCAGGAGATGTAAGCTCTTTCTGGGGGAGCCTGGTGCTTGGCTATTGTACTAGGTGCTGTCAAAAATCTTGTGTCTGACAGTGACTACGCCTATGAGAGAGAGAATGCAGGTGTGTGTGTGTTTGCATGCGAGAGAAAGAGGGAAATGCAGTGAACGGCAATAGTTCAAATGCTTAAAAGTGCTGATCTGCCAGCAATGTTCTGTCAGCTCTGAAAGAGTTAAACTGGCTTTGTGTGTCCTCATCCAAGCTAGGTGCTAGATGAAAAATTAATTTCTAAGCCTGATGCACTGAGCCAGTTGTGCTATTCTTTCCCAGTTAACTCTGCCTAGATAAGTAGTAGGATTATGTGCCATTTATAACTACCACAAGGAATTTATACTATGAAATGGGCCTTCAGTACAACTGATGTAGGAAGGTTTTATACCCGGAACTTAAACAGGACTTTTCTTTGGAAAGGCATCTGGTTTTATAGACCCAACTTCAGTGAGCTAGAGCCAATCCTATATTGTTAGGGGTGAGAAATTCCTTTTCTAGATTTGCAACTGTTTTTTGCAGAATTTGGAGTAGGGATATGAAGTGGTAACCGGTTAACTGGTTACCTGGTCGCTGGGAGCCGCACCACTAGGACCCCATGTGAGGCTGGTAGAGCTCACCCCCACTGGGCTGAAGCAGTCCCCCACCACAGACGGGCTTCTCTGGCCAGAATGGAGCAGCCCCCACATCTGTTAATTGGTTAACTAATTAAACACTATGGCTATGTCTACATTGGCATCCCTTTCCGGAAAAGGGATGCTAATGAGACACTTTGGAATTGCAAATCCGCGGAGGATTTAAATATCCCCCGCAACATTTGCATTTACATGGCTGCCGCTTTTTTCCGGCTCGGGGTTTTTGCCAGAGAAAAGCGCCAGTCTAGACGCGATTCTCCAGAAAATAAGCCCTTTTCCGGAGGATCCCTTATTCCTACTTGAAAGGGATCCTCCGGAAAAGGGCTTATTTTCCGGAGAATCGCGTCTAGACTGCCACTTTTCTCCGGCAAAAACCCCGAGCCGGAAAAAAGCAGCAGTCATGTAAATGCAAATGTCGCGGGGGATATTTAAATCCCCGCGGATTTGCAATTCCGAAGTGTCTCATTAGCATCCCTTTTCCGGAAAGGGATGCCAATGTAGACACAGCCTATGTGTAAACAGGATTTTGCATCAATAATTTGGGAAAACTATGCTGATTTAAATACACAACAGATGACAACCAGTTATAATACCAAGGGACAATCTTGAGAATGATTCTGTAGTCTGATGCTTTGCGTGTTCACCTAGGATGAGGGAGAAAAAGGTTCAAGTCCCTGATCCAATGACAAATTATACTGAGAGGAACAGGAGAGATTGAGAGAGACCTGCTCAAGGCTATCCCATAGCTCAGTGCCTTGGGCATTGTCTTGAAATGTGGGAAATCTAAGTCCATCTCTCTTGTACACATCCGGAAGAAAGGGGAATTGAGCCTGGGTCCAATTCATCCCAGAAGCATACCCTAATCACTGTGCCAAAGATGATCTGCCTGCTTTCCTGCCCCAACATCCTTCTTGGTTTTTAGTGCTTGAAATCAAAACAAAATGGGCTGGTCAAAATGAAAGGTTCAGACTAGGGATGTTAAATTTAGATTAATTGGCTAATTGAATAGTTGATGCAATTTGCATCAACTATTCAATTAATCAATAAGGGTGCCTCTGCCTTTGTAGTGTAGCAACAGCCCCAGGGAATACGGGGCCAGCGGGGGACTCAAGCAGTTCCCTGCTGACCCTGTGCTCCCCGCAGCATTTCAAAGCCTCAGCACTGCATGGAGCCCATTGTCAAACTCAAAGGGCATCTACTTTCATAGCCAGTACTCTTGATTTGACCTTTCTCTTTAGGGTAGACGTGGCCTAGTAATAGGGTGACGGTAAGAGGCCTGTCTGTGCCATTAGTGATCACAAGTGCCATCTGATGGGATTTGATGGCCAACATGAACTTGGTTTGGTAGGTTCAGTCCATTTCCCAGCAGACACATAGTTTCATCATAGTTACAGTTACCAAAGGACCCTTTGGGACAACTTTAGCTAAGAGACCACGGTTTAGTGGGACAAGGTGTCAACCCTGCTAGATATGATGCTCCCAGAACAAGTGAGATGTATATTGCTAAGCCAGTGTAGGAGAAACTTGCAGTAAAACTTGTTCAGAAGATAAATGCAAGACTCTTCTCCAAACCTATCAATTCAAACTTTCATAATCCATAAACTATCTTTTTATTATAGTTAAAAAGGGGGAGTTTTGTTACAGGGTTTCGTTTGTGCTCAGAAAATATGCTCCAAATTAACTTGCATTTTAAGGATGTGCTCCTTTAATAAACTGCAGCTGTTACTTCTAAGAAGCCTCTGACAAAATGTTTGAAATAGATCAGAGATTCATTGTATGTCTGAAACAATTGAGCTGTTGAAGCATGGAGTGAATGAAGAAAGCAGCCAACCCTTGTATCTCTTGCTGACATGAATAAGCACTTAACCTGATCACTGTGGAACTGTGTTCCTACTTGTAGGGCTGTGAGTATGCATGTGCCCAGAGTATTGCTGCCAATCTATCTGGTGCAGTGTGCCCTTGCTTGTTTGAAAGTTGACGAAAAATGAGATGTGAATTGCAAAGCAGGATCAACAAGGGAAAGGGTTAAACAATACATATCTGTACTGAAGTAAATCAGGTTAGACTACCATGCTTGGAAATGCCCTTCCATGGGTTGTCTTTGTGAAATTGGACCTCTGCTGAAAGGGGTCACTTAACATTTTTATGAAATTGGGAGACGGAGCAATTGCTGTACCCCAGTTTGGTCCCATCTCTTTCCATGCAATAACGAGGAATGGAAATCTAGGACAGCTTTCTTATTCCACTGAAAGAAAACTCTGCTTCCCTTTAGGAAGCTGTGTGTGTGCAAGCTTAGAAACGGTAACTTTGTCACAAACTCTGATTAGCCAAAGGTTTGCAGCTAGCTTCTAGCTCTCCAGTTTCCTGCCTTGCCCACACTACCTTGCATTAGAGAGCATTGATCTAGTTTGAAAGTTTCTGTGCACTGAGAATGCTCTTGGGGCAATTTGCAGGTCCTGTATTATTTAGTATCATTTATTTAAAAAATGAAAGAGAAACAACATGAGGAGGCTGTATTGGACTGCTTATTTCCTGGAGATTTTATTTTTAACTTGGGATGCTAACCTTTCATAGCAGAAAACATTATTTTTTTAAACACATCTCTCCCAGAAGTTAATATCTTGTATGATCATGACCCAAAAAGTGTCCCCATGAGTGATAACAATTGGAGCTTGAGAACTGCTGGCAAAAGTCTCTAGGGTCTGCTTGTCTTCATGTTAGAGAAGGCCCTGCAGAGGGTAACCAAAATGATTAGGGGGCTGGAGCACATGACCTACAAGGAGAGGCTGAGGGATTTGAGCGTATTTAATTTGCAGAAGAGAAGAGTGAGGGAGGATTTGATAGCAGCCTTCAACTTCCTGAAGGGAGGTTCCAGAGAAGATAGAGTGAGGCTGTTCTCAGTAGGGATGGATGGCAGAACGAGGAGTTACAGTGTGGGAGGTGTATGTTAGATATTAGGAAAAACTATTTCACTAGGAGGATGGTGAAATACTTGAATGGGCTACCTAGGGAGGTGGTGGAATCTCCATCCCTGGAGGTTTTTAAGTCCCAGCTTGACAAAACCCTGGCTGGGATGATTTAGTTGGGGTTGGTCCTGCTTTGAGCAGGGGGCTGGACTCAGTGACCTCCTGAGGTCTCTTCCAGCCCTAGGAGTCTATGAATCTATGTTTTTCTGTTTTCCTAAGAGAACTGGATTTCTCCACTGATGCCTATTGATCAACAATCTCCCTACAACATTCTAAATACCCTGAAACACTAATCCATGTTCTCTGCAGAAGCTGCTATTCATCATTTGGGACTCCTCACGTCTGCAGTTATTTAGCCTTGTAGGGGAGTCTATTAGGGCAGCTTAGAACTGAGCTGTAGAATTCATAGAAATGGAACTGAGCTTTCCGAGAAAAAAAAGGAAAATAGAATCAGGTCAGGGATGAAAATACAGGAAGGTGAAATGCTGTCCATTTTCAGTCCATGCGTAGTCTGCGTATTGCACTCTACAGTGATCTATAGAATCTCCTGAAATAGAGCCAGCTAGCTCAGCAGTAGGATAGTAATCACTGTACACTTCAGAGCAATTGTGAAATAGAGTTAAAAATAACAATATCCCTCCCTGCGTTACTGCAAGCTGCTCCAAACATGTTTTCTTTCTTCCTAATAGGCCAGTAGCCCTCAAGATCTTCGTCTCTTCTATGAGAAAAACAAGATGCTGATGCCCAAGTAAGCATTCTTCCGGTGTTACTATTTTTTTCCACTCACTTACTCTGTATTTACACCTGTCCTCTCATGCTATCAGCTCATTATGTTGGGTATATGACTAAAATATTTGGCCACCTGCCTCTACATTTCTTAACTGGCAGCAATATGGTCCAGAGAGAGTCAGACTACTGCTACATTGCCCGAATCAGCTGTCTCCTCCCTCACACACTCATTTCACTGCTGCATGTACCCCAGAATATGCTTTGTATGGGAGCTGCTCTGCTGAATAGAGGCTCTTTGCAAGCGATTTCCAAAGTGCAAAGTTCCCTCGTGCACATTGGCCATCCTGTGCCAGGTACTATCTACTGCAAGGGTCTCAAACTCCTGGCCCACAGGCTAATCCCCGTGGAAGCAATTGTGCAATTTGTCCTGGAACTCCATTACCAACCCCTAAACCCTGCCCCTTCTTGTTAGTGATCTGCCCTCTTCCCCTGCACCATGGTGCCCCATTTCCCAAGCATGCAGCTTTGGGGGATACTGGTGTGGTCTGGCTCTAAGGGGGAAGAGGAGCACGGTGGGAAGGGGCCAGACATGGGGACCAATAACGGACAGCTCTTCCTTCCCCCTGCCCGCTGGGGGTCCCAGGCCATGTTGTGCAATCACTCCATCAGGACTGGTCTATGGGCCGGAAGTTTGAGATTCCTAATCTACAGGGTTCAAGAGTAGCCGTAGTTTTCCCCTTGCAAGCTATTCCCAAAGTAGCATCAAGTATTGCAAGCTTTCGCAGCAGCACCAGTCCTGTAACACTCCTTGGCAATATGTAGGCCACATCCCCAGTTTCCCACATACTAGGAAAGTCATTTCCTGTTCCAATAGCCATTTCAGAGGAAAATAGACAGCTGAGTATGTGCCCTGTGTTCATGGAAAAGGTTGCAGTTCCCCATGTTTGTGCTTTTTTCCCCCATGTTTGTGTAGGGGGAGCTGTGCTTTTTTTATCCCAGAGTGGTATGGAGTAATTGCTGGAGTAATTAAGTGGCTGCCACACACAGTGATTTTTTTTGTCATTTACGGGCTTTTATTTTGAGGTTGTGTTCTTAAGAGAGCCATGCTGTCTCCTCCAGAAACATCTCTGTCTTTCTAGAGGTAGACCCATACTCCAGACCCTCTGAACCTTGGGAAAATTGGATCCCAATTTGGGAACTTCAAACCCATTGTTACATTTAAAGGCAGGGGAGAGAGAAGAGGCTTCACATAACTTTCCTATTGGACCTGACATCATGCACAGAACTGCTAGACTGAATTAGTGCAGGGAGCATATAGCTTAATAGTGTGAATAACTTTTTAAGGCATGAGTTCATTGTATCAGGTGGGCATGATTAGCTCATCTGCTAATGCAGCCACAAGAGGTAATGTCTAGGGAAGTCAGGAAATCAAAGTTTTATAAATCCATACTGATGCACAGTACGTGTACATTTTTTAGTGTCATGCTGTGACGAAAATGGTGGGTTTTGATCAAAGCATTGAAGATTGTGGGTCCTGTCCATTCATTGTGCTCTGAGCCCAAGGGATCATTGGAGTCAGAACCACCTTATGGCTGTAGGAAAGCATGGCAGAAAGTGAAGCAGATATGCTCTCCCTACTTATCCCCCAAAATAAATCCCCATTCCTCTCTGAGTCTTTACCTTTTAATGGCTATGAAATATCACATCCAGAAAAAGCCTTTTTCTGCCACTAGAACCATTCTGCCCTGGCACCATTGTCAGTTGCTGAGTGTTCAGCAGCCATGATTAAAAATAAAACCTGGATGCAATAAAGTGAGACAGAAGTTGGCCATCCTTATTTATCAGTGCTGCATTTAAATCAACAAGGAACTTCTACAGAAGCAAGCCCCCACAGCTTTGTGTTACCATTCATCCTCCAACTCATGAACTTTGGCAGACACCACCACACTCTCTACAATCTGTGCCATTTCTTGAGTAAACCTGGATAAAATGGCTTTCTAAAGCTGGCGAGGGAAACTCCAGACCACCTGAGCCCTCGCTCCCACTCTGCCTGAGCAGTGCCAAGATATTGTTACTCAGGACTAATCAGCATGGCACATCTGCTTCCCACCTACTGGCGCAGTCCCCAGATAAGTGTAATTTGTTTGGGTATAAGGGCAGGGGGAAAAAAGGCTCATCAAACTGTCAATGGAAATCTCTGTGCCTCACTAGCTGACATGATTGCTGAGGGGTGAAACGCCACGCTGAGGCAAGAAGCTCACACCAGAAGTGGCAAGCCAGACAGCCTTGTTATTTTATTGTAATTTACTACTGGTCAGAATAGCAAACATTCATCATCTGGTATTGCACAGTGAGTTACATGCTCTGGGCAGGGTGGGGAGGCGTGGCAGAGGAGTTGTTTTTGTTGTTCATATTAAATCATTTGGCTTAGGCAGTAGGAAAACTGCTATAGGGTGGCCAGGCTTGTAACTTGTGAGAAGCAGGACATAGGCAGGGGGTGTAATTCACAAGTAGAAGAGACAGACCACACTGGCTCTGAGCCAGCTAGCATACTTGACAATAGAATGTAGCTGCAGCAGAGCATGTGGGGAGTGTGCCTGCTTCTTGAATAGCTATGTACTTGGGGCAACTAGCCCTGCATGCCATTGCAGCTACACTCTGTTTTTAACATGATAGAGCTAGCATAGGTATACCTCCTCCAGCTGGTTGTTATACCCTAATCTCAAAGACTGAATGTACTCTGCCATGTGACTTTAGGCATAACACTTGACCTGCCAGATTCTTGACTGTAAAACTGCTTACAAGCTAAACCTTGCTGGGAAAAGGATGCTGTGTCTTAGATGGGCTATTTCTGTGCCCCATCACTTGTGCATAATGGATAAATTACCCCCACAATACTTGGGGACAGCAGTCCCTGGGCACTGCTGTATTGTTCAGGACACCTTGCAAATCTGTGAGTCTTGGGCTACTTCCATAGTGTGTTACTAGGGTTGTCACTTTCTGACATCTGCCTTGAACACCATATCCTTTTGGTTGCAACTAACTGTAGCCTCAGTTTAGTATTAGGGTATGTCTATGCAGCAGCTATGGGCGATGATTACAGTAGATGTTCCTGAGCTAGCATTAATTGGGTCAAAGAACAGTGATGTAGAAGCAACTTTACTGCAGGATTTGCAGGCCTGTCCAACGTATTCCTCTAATTTGTTACATTCACAAAATAAATATTGTTATGTACACCATAAATAGAAACACATGCTGCCAAGTGGGTGCTGTGGGCACTCTGTTAATCAGCTGGGGGGCACCTGAATCCTTCCCTAGATGGCCACCCAAGCACTTAACTTCCAGGAAAAACCGCTGTCTAGGATCTGGGAAAACTACACATGGGGCTAGTCTGGGCTGAAGTTCTCTCTGCTGCAGTTTTGCTGGTTCAGGATCTATGATGGCTACCTTAAAATGAGATGAGCTATGTAGGCAGACCCTTCTGTAATCATACCCCGTGATTGCAAGGTAAACATAAACTTAAATGCATCCTCTCTGGGGGGGTCTGGATACTCTTCTCTGGGCAAGCATTTATTAATGTTTTGTGCCTGGGACAGATTGCAAAACACCTCCTCTTGCACAAACGAGGCTGGTGTGATGCTTGCAAAAATTGTGTTCTAGGAATTGCTAGGTCCAAGAGAGAGGCAAAGGGCTTCTCAATAAAATAAAATAAAATAAAATAAAATAAATCACTGGCTTGTTATAAAGCCCTCAAATATAGACCTTGTCTAAGGGCTTCTGTTTCTCTCTTGACTGAGTAAGACTCTGTTAATATTCATCAGCATGCTCCCCTCCAGCCCCAGTTACTCTCTCTCACTTGGTTTTCATTCACATCAATATTGGCACATGATGTGGAGGGGAGGAATAATGCAGGCAGGAGTAAATAGGTATCTGCATCCTATCTCACAGTTAAACTTGTTGCGTGATTGTTGTGGAGGGGTTAGCCCTGATGTGGGGATGTGGGCCTAAGCAGGCTGTGTTTCACAATAGCAGTTGGCTCTGGGCTCTGTACAGTTACAATCCCTGTTCAGACAACACATGCCATTACCTTAGCTGATCCTCAGGAGGGGAAGAAGGGGAAGCTGTTTAACTACAGGGACCGTGCTGTGCATGTGCCCAGCCATGATAAATAGAGATAATGCTGACAGCCTGAACCAGGCTACATCTCATTTGGAGAGCACTGCTCTCTCAGAGTAGGTCTCAGCCATTATTCCCCAGAACCATCCTTCCTAGCTGCCAAGGGAAATCAACAGAGCTCTCTCCACTCATGCAAAAGCTGAATTACCTTTTCCCCTCCCTAATCTATACAGTGATTCATGCTGTGTGCCTGTATACAATAACTTGGTCCTTGGCCTCTAAGCTCAACCCCCACCTCCTTGTGTGAATAGCAGGGGCTAGATTGATTTGCTTCCATGTGTTGTGGCCTCCATTAAAAATTGACATAACAGACCTTCTTTCCCCATATTCTCCCCTCCCTCTAGGCATTTGCCTTTATCCTGCTGCTCTTTTTACTTCTGAGGGGAAATAGTGCATTAATTTGTTGTAGGTGGCAAATGCCCAGATTTTGGGGCACTCACTGTAAATACTATTAAACAGGTAATATGTTTAAGGCCAGGTTCAGGTCTTATGTGAGCTATCTGTGTCTTCAAAAACAAAAAGATAATGAAATTGGAAGTAATTTGGTAATGTTGATCTCCAGAACTCTTTGTGGGTTTTAATAGGAAGTTTTCATTGACTAAAGTGCTCCCTGTTGTAATAATTCTGTGCTGTATTTTTCCATGGAATAGAAAACATTGAAACCCAGCCAGATCACAGTTAAATCATTCTCAAAAGTAAAGCTCTGAAGATGTTCCTGAAAGAAATCTTTAAATCAACCTAGAGCTGGTCTACACCAGAGACTAGGTTGTATAGCTGTGCCTTTCAGGGGATGTAGATTTTTCTCACCTCAGAGATGAAGCTATACTGAAGTAAATTCCTAGTGTAGCCCTGGTCTTAATGTCAGAAAACATTTTTCTACCAAGCAAGGCAGATGTAGCCAGATTTTACTTCCTATTGAAGCACCTAAAAGACTTCGGAGCGTAAATTCTAATTTCAAAAGTAACTTAAGACATTTCCAGTCCTGAGTCCCATTGAAAGTAAAATGGTAACCTACAGCCTAAGTACTACAGTTGGTCAGAAATTTCATTTTCCTGTCAGAACTATTCATGAAAATGTGTTAGTCTTGCCGAATCTTCTGAGAGAAATCAGGCAGATTTCTGCCAGGTTTCCTGCCTGCATGCTCGCAAAGGGGAATGCCAGAGAGCTGTAATGCCAGGAGACCCATTTTGGGATTAGGTTATCAGTGCAGATTTTACATCATATCACCTACTCAAGATAGAGCTTTAACACTAGCAAAATAGGGAGTTAGGTGTGAAAACCACTGGGACAAAAATAAATCAGTTTCCTCATTCAGCACCAATACAGTGGGCATTTTTTCTGTTTATAGCTCAGCAGGTGCAAGGTGGGGTTTTTGATTTGCATTAACTCCCATTTAAGAGATGTTAAAGGTGTCTGTAAGTTTTAACTTTTGTTTTGACCTGTCTAAAAATCCTAGCATCCCAAGGGAGACTTCCAGCCATCTGAGGCATCTGCTATTGGGTCTGCTGCAGCGCAATCATAAGGACCGCATGGACTTTGGTAAGAGAATTGCCAATTCTAGTGATTGAGACAAAATGAATGAAAATAGTGCCTATGTTGGCTCTGCCTCATTATTATCATTGAACTCCAGGTCTCTGTGGGCATCATAGGGTGAATAGAGTACCAGGCTACTCCAGCTGCCCAAGTTTCAGCATGATCTTTGGAGGTTACTACAGCTGGAGGAGCAAACTGCCAAGTTCAGTACTGGCTTTAAATGCTTATGTCAGAATGCAGTTCCCATTATTGGGAATGCTACCTGCCTTCCCTCGTGGACAACCCACTGCTGGCTGTCTGGCCTTCAACTTTTGAAACCTGTTTTGTGTGTGCCAAAATGAGGTGACCTTGTGTGCTTGTCACAGTGCATAGCTCCCTCATTATTCTGCGTGCTCTTCCATGCTTCAGGTTCCTCTCCTCTGCCTGTTGCTACTCACATGCCAGACACAGTATATATGCTAGGGGATACATATTCTCCCTCTCCCTAAAGCTAGCACAAGAACCCTCAGTCTTTATCAGTTCCTTCCCTTGCCAGCAGGGCTTGACAGAATGGTCCATCTGTTCTTCCCAGGATTCGTACAGTCCTTCCAATCCTCACCTCAGAGAGTCATCTGGTGTTTCTACTCCCTGTAGGTATCTTACCCAAGCTTTGCATCTGGCTGACTTGGAGAGTCTACATCTAGGTCCTTCATCACATGTGCCGCTTCCAGCCAATCTTACTCCTATAGCCAGTGATGCTTACTCTTAAAAGCTGTTTTCATTGTCACAGTGCCTGTAGTCAAATAAATCCATTTGATCTTCATTTGATTACCTACTTCACTCTGGCCTTGTGTGGGCCTGTTTAAGGTGTCTCTCTGAAACTGTTCTCCTAGAACAGAACCATGTTTCATCTTTGTGTTAAATATTAATGTTGTGCAATGCAAAGCAAATGGCTATATATGCCTTTGCCAAGCTAGCAGCTGTTGCCCTAGGAATGAAGTGGAATGTGTGGGTGAACGGGTGCACTTGCTATATGTGTGCTTCTAAAAGGCTGTTGATCTTTGACTAGGATTGAGAGAGAAGCACTTGATTTTAGAATTGGCCAAGTGGTTTCCCGAGTGGACTGCATGCTGCTGCCAGTCCTGGTTAATGCAAACTGGTTTGCTATCTCTGTTGTTTGACTGGAGCGATCAGTGAAACCTTGTCTTGAATCCCCTGATACACGGATAAATCGTGTGTGTGGATTAACCAGGACTGAATGTAATTACCTTACCCTGGTTATATAAGTTCTTGTATGGAGCAGTTTGCATGGATTACAGAAAATGTGCATTTTCAAAGGAGTTCAAACCAAATTAACAAACAGAGCCTGTGAAATGGTTGTGTATATAGGTCTTCTGTGGAGAATAGAATACACCTTGTATTGTGGGTCTCAAATTTTTCCATATACAGTAAACTTCCGATAATCCGGCACCTTTAGGACCCAGGGGGTGCCGGATTATCAGATATGCCGGACTATCAGAAGGGGGGGCTATGAGGGGTCTGGAGTGGGGTGGG